GGATGCCTTGGGAGGTAGGGGGACCCGGGCCTTTCCTTGCTTACCGTGGGGGAGTAATACATTGTAGTCCTTCTCATTATTTCCACCGGCTCCATTTCGCTAGAAGACAGAAGGAGCCGCCATGAAATGACAGGCTGCCCACCCTGCTCTGCCTCAGCCCTCCTTCTTTGGGAGGGTGTTGACTTCCCCGGGGGGCTTCAGGGGTCCTTTAGCTAAGCACACCGTACGTACCTTTCTGGAGCACCCAATGGTGCTTTCTCTGCGGCGTCCGATGATTCCTGTGAACGAGAGTGAGGTTTTCGGCCCAAGGGGGGCTCGCTCCCCAAACCATGCCTGAGGCCAGAGAGCAGGGCAAGCCCACCCTGCAAGAAGGAGAGGCAAGGGAGGGCACAGGATGCCTCAGGAGGCAGTGAGATCCAGGCCTTTCCATGCTTAGAATAGAAGTGAAATCCAGTGCCGTCATGGTCATGATCTCCACCGGCTCCATTTCGCTAGAAGACAGAAGGAGCCGCCATGAAGTGACAGGCGACGCTCGGAAGGCAGGAGTCCCAACCCTCTTGGCTGTCTTTCTCGGGGCTGCTTCCTTGGCCTCCCAGGGACCTCAGTTCCCCCTGAGACACCCCAAGCAGAGGGTAGACGAGGTGCATCCTGCACACAGAGAGAGAGTGACAGTGAGTAAAAGTGTTTCCTTTGGCGTGATGGTGGTGATAGTGGTGATGGTGATCTACCCCTCCTGGGAGGAGATGGAGAGCGTACGCTGGCTGGGGAAGGGCCTGGCCTTCTCCTGCAGAAGAAGGAGAGAGAAAGGAAGCTCAGAAAAGAGAACACACATGTCGCCATGCGCAGGACAGCCCAAAACAGTGGCTTTCCGTGAGCAGGACTCCACCCTCCAGGACAAGGGACAAGGCAGGAGGGAGTCAGGGGGCTGAAGGCTGCCAGCCCTGCTCCACCTCAGCCCTTCCTCTTTGGGAGGGTGCTGCAATCCCTGAGGGGCTTCAGGGGTCCTTTAGCTAAGCACACCGTACGTACCTTTCTGGAGCACCCAATGGTGCTTTCTCTGCGGCGTCCGATGATTCCTGTGAACGAGAGTGAGGTTTTCGGCCCAAGGGGGGCTCGCTCCCCAAACCATGCCTGAGGCCAGAGAGCAGGGCAAGCCCACCCTGCAAGAAGGAGAGGCAAGGGAGGGAATAGGATGCCTCAGGAGGCAGTGAGATCCAGGCCTTTCCATGCTTAGAATAGAAGTGAAATCCAGTACCGTCCTGGTCATGATCTCCACCGGCTCCATTTCGCTAGAAGACAGAAGGAGCCGCCATGAAGTGACAGGCGACGCTCGGAAGGCAGGAGTCCCAACCCTCTCGGCTCTCTTTCTCGGGGCTGCTTCCTTGGCCTCCCAGGGACCTCAGTTCCCCCTGAGACACCCCAAGCAGAGGGTAGACGAGGTGCATCCTGCACACAGAGAGAGAGTGACAGTGAGTAAAAGTGTTTCCTTTGGCGTGATGGTGGTGATAGTGGTGATGGTGATCTACCCCTCCTGGGAGGAGATGGAGAGCGTACGCTGGCTGGGGAAGGGCCTGGCCTTCTCCTGCAGAAGAAGGAGAGAGAAAGGAAGCTCAGAAAAGAGAACACACATGTCGCCATGCGCAGGACAGCCCAAAACAGTGGCTTTCCGTGAGCAGGACTCCACCCTCCAGGACAAGGGACAAGGCAGGAGGGAGTCAGGGGGCTGAAGGCTGCCAGCCCTGCTCCACCTCAGCCCTTCCTCTTTGGGAGGGTGCTGCAATCCCTGGGGGGGAGGGCTTCAGAGGTCCTTTAGCTAAGCACACTGTACCTTTCAAGATGTTCCTCTTCTTCTCCTGCCTCTGATGATTCTTGTGAATGAGAGGTTTTCAGCTGAAAGTGGCCTCGCTCCCCAAACCATGCCTGAGGTCAGAGAGCAGAGCTAGCCCAGCCTACGGCAAGCAGAGGCCAGGCAGGCCCATCCGCGCCAGGAGAGGGTGAGGTCAGGACCTGGATGAAAGATATAGGATGCCTTGGGAAGTACGGGGATCTGGGCCTTTCCTTGCTTACCGTTGGGGAGACATCCGGTGCCATCCTCATCATTAACTTCAGCCTCTCCTTGGCACTAGAAGACAGAAGAAGCCGCCATGAAATGACAGGCGATGCTTGGAAGGCAGGAGTCCCAACCCTCTCAGCTCTCTTTCTTAGAGCTGCGGCCTTGGCCTCCCAGTGACCTCAGTTCACACTGGGATGCCCCAACCAGGGAGCCCAACCCTGAGCAGGGAGGAACCGGCACACTGCCCATAGGCCAGAAGCCAGGCCTCCTACCTTGTCCGTTTGCCTGAACCTCAGGATCCAAACCAAGAGATAGGGGGTACCTCTCCAGGAGTGCTCGGACAGAGTCCCCTGACCCGATGCTGCTGTCATCATCCAGAGAGGAGTCGCTTACACTGGGGACGTCCTGCAATCAGAGTCAGCTGTCAGTTCCTTGAAAACCAAAAAATTCCCCCTCCCACACTCACTCACACTCTATTTCCAGAACTGGAAATTTCTCAAGGAAAATAAAGGGAAGGGGTGGGAAGGGGTTGGACTGTAAAAAACGGGAAGCAATAGGCTGAAACAATTTGGTTTTTCCCACTTAAAGGACCTACCCGGGACCCCCACCTCCCACCCCCAAAAAGAGAGGGAGAAAATGACTGATGGCGAAGGGATCAGTCTTTCAGCTTCTTTCGGTTGAAAGGAAGGCCACCCTCTCCCACCCTCAACAGATGCCCATCAAAAAGACCCCCAGACCTGCCTTACCCAGGCGAAGAAGGGCTCCTGGACGATGTCAGCAGCATCCATCAGGGAATTTGCTGGTACAGCAAAACTGTAAGAAAATATTGGAAGGAGTAAGAATCAAACCCCCAGACCTGCCTTACCCAGGCAAAGAAGGGCTCCTGGACGATGTCAGCTGCATCCATCAGGGAATTTGCTGGTACAGCGAAACTGTAAGAAAATGTTGGAAGGAGTAAGAATCAAAAAGGGGAGACCTGCCAGGAGGATGATGAGCCTGAGTCTCCCGGTGGCCCTGTACCCAAAGAGGCCAAGAGCAACCTCCAGAGGGCGCCGGTGGTGTGAAGGGTGCCCATGCCCGCTGGTTATATGATAATGGAAGATTGTTTGTTTGTTGCGTGGAAATTGAAAGATGGGTGGCAGAAGGAGCGAAGCGGACTGGAAGGAATGCCATGAACAGACAGGAAACCGACGCTGCCTGCCTCGGGGAAGGCTGCGGAGTCTCAGACTGATGGGCAGGGTTCACCCCCGGAGTCTGTTTGGAGGCAGTTCAGCCACTTTGAGTTGCAACAGAATTTGACAATAATCACACTGGAGCAAGGGCTTTCAAAACCAAACTATCCTGGCCTAAATCAACTGTCTCCACACACGACTGCGCCACCTTTACCGAAGAAAAGGGCAGAGAACGTTTGCCATCAAAGATCTACATCCAGGTCCTGACAACGTTGCTCCAGCTCTTTGAGGAATTCCTCTGCTTCATTTTCGATCTCCTTCATTCAGGAAAAAAAAATCAACAATGACTTTTATAGTTACAAAATATGAACCTGAATTGAATTTGGCCACACATCAGAAACTTCTATAAAATGAATTGTCTAACCATATAAGAAACCTGCTAAAATTCCTAGCATGAGAATGTTTTCCCCCAGAAATTAAAACACAGGATCAATTGCAACTCGAGACAATATTTTACATAGATTCTATATTCCTCTTACACCAGAATTTGACAGCTGTAACGTAGGAGAAAGGGCTTTCAAAACCAAACTATCCTTGCCTAACTCCTCCAGTCTCACAGGAGAGAATCCAACTGCACATGTCGGGACCCAGCCAGGATTCGAGCACCCCTCTCCTCTTTAGGGAGGCTTCCTCCATTTTGTGCCCACCACCAAGGAGGATACACCACATTCTTCAGTTCTGAGGGACACACTATACTATGCCTGGTGGGAGGAATCAACAGAGTCCTTCCTCCAGTTGTGGTGACCAGCATTTTAGACTTCTTCAAGATGTCCTGCTGGATCTCCCCACTTGACAAAGAGACCGACGAGACGCCTGAGGGAAGCCCACAGCCAGGATGGGAATGGGATGGGACTCCCACCTTGGCCTCCACAGGAACGCGCATGCAGAAAACTCTGCTTGGTGGAGGGAAAGCAGGTTACAGCCCCAGGCCATCTGCTGAAGCTGAATGGCGGGCAAGGCAGGCTTTCCCAATCACAAGGTCAGACCTATCTTCAGGGGGGCTTCTCAATGATCTCCCCCACCCATAACATTGCTCACCTTGCAGCCTCTCCCACTCGCATGTTTGAATGGTTACGCTTCAAATGAGTATTTTCTTCGCTCCCTCCTAATTGAGTCCCATGGACACGGAATGTCTTCCTTACCTGCTGGCTGGAGGTTGGACGCTCCTTGATGCTAGAAGAAAGAACGGTCTTGCGTAAGAAACCCTGAAGTCCCAGGGGTCAAAGAGCCTGCCAGCTTTCCAATTTCGGAGTGGAAAAGAGGGGCTCTGACTCCCCCTCTCTAAGGTGGGAGGTCAGTGGGCAGCCCCAGACACCGAACCCAGAAACACCTACCTCTTTCCTTCCCACACCAAGGAAAACCTACCAGGGATGGTCAGAGCTCCCCGAACTCTCATTCTCACTGTAATGCTGCAAAGGAAATGAAATAAAGGTTCAAGGAGGTGTCACTCCCACACCCAACGGTGTGATCTCGGAGTCGGCCCTTTCCTTCTCTCCCAGGGGTTGGTGTGTGATCTCGGCCCTCCCCTTCTCTCCCAGGGGTTGGATGCAAAGGGAGGGAAATCAGGTGGATCTTTCAGGTGGGGAAAGACTTTGGGTCCTTACCGGATTGTCAGCAGAGGCATTGATAACATATTCTCCTCTGAGTCGCCTAGACTCTTCAGGACTGAAAAAGGAAGAAATCAGACCACATAAGAGATGGAATTCATCACAAATCCCCACAGGATGCGACTAAGGCACAAGGGACCATGGGACCCACCCTATGATGTCTAAAGATCACCATGTTTGAGGATGAAAGTGGGAAAGTGAAAGGGGAGACGTCCTTCCTGCCATGAAGCCTCTTCTCCTGCAGGATTCCCTCCCAGACTTGTTCCTGAGCCATTAGGTTTAGAAATGAAGCCCGTGGGGTTTCTTTGCATGAGCAAAACTCCAGGTTCAAGGGTGAGCCAAGGGCCCCCCTTCCCATGGTCCCTCCCTCCCATGCTTTCCTGCCCTTGCACCCCCTCCTCCCTCGCTTTCTCCTGCTCTTCCTCCCCTGCATGGGGACCAATTCCTGGGGAAGCCCCTCGGGCCCAGGCAGGGGCATGGGATTTGTTGTCTCACCTTGTAGGAGGAGTCGTGGGGCATTCTATTTCCCCGCAGCAGCAAAGGAGCCGCTGTCAGTTGACTTTCTGTAAAGGAGAGCCAAGGAGGACATGTTAGGAGGAAGGAAGGATGGCCGGAGGAGTGGGTGGGTGTGTTTCCCTGTGCGGGTCAAGTCATGGCCGGACTGGTATTTGGCCAATCATTTACAGTGGTCCAAGTTCCCAGACCCCCTGCCCGGACTCCCCCCTTTCCACCTCGCCACCCCTTCCCTACCCATGAGCCAGCGACTCCTTCCATGGCCACTGGGGATCCTCAGATGCTGGCTGGGCTTTTTGGGCAACTTTTTGGGAGGGAGTTTGCAACTCCATCCTCGCGTGGGGGGCTCACCCTGCCTGCCTTTTGCCAAGTCCCCCCCCCGGCCCATCTCCCTCCTCTCTCTCTGATGGACAGGGTTCAGCGCCAGTCACTTGGGAGGGAGTTCAGCCACTTTCAGTTGCTGAGGAGTTCCTTACCAGTCAACTGTCCACACACGACTGCGCCACCTTTGCCAGAGAAAAGAGCAGAGAACGTTTGGCATCAAGGATTGGCAGATAACATGGCTCCAGATTTAATGGCAAGGTGAAGGGTTGGCTTAGAAAACATTCTCTTGCGTGTGGCTTCCCATCCCATTCTTTGTCAGGAGAAGATTTTTAAAGCATTTTTAACACAGGAAGGTGGACGGAGGAAGATAGTGAAGGAAACAGGGTTTCAAACAGCGTACTTCAGCCAATGGTGGTGGAGAGGCTGGAATCCTCCTCCTCTTGAGCCAAGCCCTGGAGACGTTTCTCCACCTCCTTCAGAAACTCCTCCGCCTCACTTTCGATTTCCGAGGAAGGCAGCGTCGGTTTCCTGCGTGATCACGGCATTCCTTCCAGTCCGCTTTGCTCCTTCTGCAACCCTTCTTTCTATTTGGCTCAGAAAACGTTCTCTTGCGTGTGGCTTTCCATCCCATTCTTTGCCAGGAGAAGATTTCTAAAGCATGTTCAACAGAGGAAGGTGGACAAAGGGAGATGGAGAAGGAGACGGGGTTGGAAACAGCGTGCTTCAGCC